TTATATTCGAACACGTTTTAATTGTTCTATCTTTAATGGTTTTGGCAGATAATGGTAACTCTAATTCTTTTCAGAATATCTGCTTTGTTCTTAAAATCCCGAAATAGCTCTTCGGATGCATTTACAAAACAATTTTTTATGTATTCGCCGTCTGTGTTCAGTTTTCCTAATCTCTTGGCTACAAACAAAACTTGCCATATTAATATTGCTGAAAGATTGCATTCAGTTATTAAACACAGAAGTTGACGACTCTTGATTCTTCTGAAGTTCCTCAACTGCTTTCTTCCTTGCATCACCGGTAGGATGATATTTAGTGCTAAATGACGCGTGCTTTCTTGTAAAGTGTCTCTCTAAATTTGACTTCTTGTTATGTGCGAATTTCTCCTTACAAATAAGACATGTTGGAAGTCCAATCAAGTTTTGAATGAACGCGAAATTCTCGGTTCACTCAACTTTAAATTCGCGGTTTTCATCTTTTTTTTTTTTTTTTTTTTTTTTTTTTTTTTTTTTTTTTGGTAGCCATGTTAATTGGGGTGCCTATAAAAATATTCCAAATATATTTTTTTTCTAAAGCCACCAGTACAAAATTATTATTACTATTAAATTGATTGAAATAAAAATTAAAAAAAAAATCTTTTTAAAAAATACAATTTTATTAAAATATATAACTGCACTAAAAAGAAAAAAATAATTTAGTCCATCATCAGAATAACAAAACTTTTAATACAACCAAAAATGGAAGAAAATTTCCAACATTTGGACAAATAGAAGTTATCGAAAAATCGATTACAAATTTTGTACCGTAACCACAAACATACATAGTAGGTGTAATAAAATCGTATAACAATACCTGTAAGATGTGCAGCTAGATTAAAAAATACAACTTTTAATAAGACAGGACAACGGCAGACACGGTAGATAAGACAAAACTGTTCACACTGCAACTGCTGCTCTGTGATGCCAATTTTCACCTTCACTGCTTTATAAAAAGCATGCATGCGCATGCTGGTACCTTGTACATGGTTTATGTGTAACAAAATTAAAACTCGATGTTCGTTACATATTTTTACAACAATACAAAGTTTTAATTACCTATCTAACTTTTTACTCAAACAAAAAATTATACATGTTCTCGATTTATAGAAGAATTTTAATTTATCAAAATAAGATGTAATTTTTTTCTTACCAAGTTTGTTTTTAAATGAAAATATTGCGCCTTCCGTGGATATTTGTACAAGAGCCGCACTTAAGGAGCCAAAGAACCACATGCGACTCTGGAGCCGCACTTTGCCGTCCACTGGTCTAGTTTATATTAACCTCTTCGTCGGCCATATTGTTCTTCAAGCCTTCTTCTACATTTAAAAACTTTTAAACATTTGAAATGCTTTCTAAATGTTTACTTGTTTGAGTTTTTATTTTTGTTTGTTCTAATACCTCCTAGAGCGCAGCACTAATCAGGCATTTCATTTCTAATAGAATTTTCCCTGAGTTTTATGAATATTCGTGCCATTTTACATAAGATACAAGACAGTGAGTGATGTCTTCAATGTCTACTCAGTAGAAAAAGAGAAAAAATGAGCTTGTGAATTAGAAAGACAATAAGGATATACGTTTGATGAGTACAGTCCATAATAACTCAATGATTGATGTTGGAACACAGAAAAGAACTGTAAAAAAATAATAATTGTAAAAGATTAAATCAACAAAATAGGAGGAGTGGACCACTTGGATCAGATGTTATCAAATTATCCTGCTGTTAGAAATAAGCAGAGATATAATTACTTTTCCATTATGCTTTATTTCCTTATAATTTTACTTAATATTCATTTACATTCATCCATTACGAAAGTTATGTATGTACAGAGAAAACAACATTACACACTGCGAAAAACAGAGGGCCGCTGGGAAAAATTTTTGTGGACAGGAGAGGGCGGCGAAAGAGTTAATAGCCGCTAGTTGTCAGTTACCTTCTGTTTTGCGTGGTAGCCGTCACATGTTTTAAATGGCTACTTCGCAGCAGAAATCATTTTGTGTTCTTGAGTTTGCAAAATGCAATTTCATGATTACAGTGCAAAGACAATTCAAGTTGAGGTACCAAAGTGGTCCTCCGAATGAGTGGAACACTCACAGATGGTATCAACAGTTTGTAAATATAGGATGTGTATGTAAAGGAAAGAATCCTGGCCGCCCTCATGTTCCCAACGAAAATGTTGCACGAATTCAAGCTGTTTTCCAGCGTAGTTTTTCAAAATCAACTCGTTGTGCCAGTCGAGAGTTACATTGCCTGCAACAACAATTTGGCATGTTTTGAGACGTTGGTTGGTTATGAAGCCATACAAGTTACATTTGTTACAAGCTCTGCGTCCTGATGGCAAACACAAGCGTGTGGCATTTTGTAACAAGATTATTGATGCCATTGACAATGATAACACTTTCTCACAACGCATCATGTTCAGGAATGAAGCGACTTTTCATGTGAGTGGTCATGTAAACAAACACAATGTTCGAATTTAGGGCCTACAGAACCCACATGCAGCCATTGAATATGTACAAGATTCGCCCAAAATCAATGTGTTTTGTGTGATATCTGTTCATCTGTTTAGGACTCATTCTTTGGTGGAAACACAATTAACGGTCAGCAGTATCTTGCTATGTTACAAAACTGGTTGTTTCCGAGGCTGCACAAAGACAACTTTATTTTACAACAAGACAGGGCACCCTCCTGACTGGTGTCGACAAGTGCATGATTATCTGAATGAAACTCTACCGAACTGTTGGATTAGTTGTCAAGAAGCTGGTGACTGAGCATGTCTCAGCTGGCCTCCACAGTAATCGAATTTGACACCCTGTGACTTCTTCCTGTGGGGTTTCATTAAAGACAATTGATGTACCACTACTCCCACAGAATTTGGAAGAGGTGAAGAATCGGATCCGTACTGTCATAACATGAGTGACGATGGACATGCTTGCCTGCGTCTGGGAGGAATTTGAGTACCCATGTGATATTGTTTGTGTCGCTGATGGAGCACATATTGAACATCTGTAATCTGAACTTAAGAGGTTCGTACATGTGTGTGTAAAGTTTCATGTTCGTATGTCATACAGTTTAATAAATATATGCATTCGAAATACATATATTCTTTTTGAAACACACTGTATTACATTTCAATTTGCAACTTTAGGAGGTAAATAAAAAAAATTGTAATTGTGGCCATATTTAGGACAACTCCGAGAAATTTTTCCACAGTAACATAAACTCAAGGTAACTAAAAATATAGACTAAATACAGGATAATGTACAGTTTAATTTTGAATATAATTATTGTCTCCCATAATTTTTCTGAAAAGTTCATCAGAAAAGAAAAGCTTAAAAAAAATGTATAAATCTTGCACAGTTAACTAAGAATTTGTGGCCTTTCATTTTTATTGCTGGAAGTAAAATTAATACTGTGGGGTATATTGCCCTGAATAGCGATGTCATTCCATGGCCCACAGTTGTCTCTTCTTTCATCTATCATCATCTTTCCTCCTGCATGAATTCATTCTTCTTTTTTTGACCACAATATCACCATCATTGTTTAATAATATTTTCTTCTTCATATCTGTGTGCAGTTATTTTTACCACAACCTAATTCTTCATTCTCATATGAGTCCATATAAAATTCATGATCACTATAGTCCGATTGTGGTAAGCTGCATATGACCTTAGAGCTGTTTATTTTTAAGAGGAGCTAATAGGTTAGATATGCTAAAATAGATGTTACTTGGTGACCAGACTTTTCGCCAAACAATTCTTTTCATTACAACTATTATATTTATTAACGATTACAGCTTTATCATTAATTTCTAATTTAAAAAAGGCTAACTGTGCCAAGTTAGGAAACCATTGTGGTTATATTACTTTTGAAACATTACCTCTCACCATATTTGAAGAACAGGATCATGTGAAACCATGTGATTCAAATGCTTTTTGTCAAAGCTGAATTATACTTTAAAATTCCATTATAATTTTATTTCTTAAATGTTTTCAAGACAATAATTTTTTTTAAATTATAAAGCAGTATTCCCCCCTAGCTGCTTAGCACTACTAGGTTCTGAAAATTTTGAAAATATTCACATTATTTATTTATTTGTCAAATGCCAGTTACATTGGCCATTAGGCCATTAAACTCCTTGCTTGCCAATAGCACTGAAATTTACAAGAAAAATTTGTCAGTGCTTCACACTCATCAAAATGTTCTGCCGCCATTGGCTGTCCACTATTACATAAAACACACAAAGGCGAATCAGCTAGTCCAATGCGAAATAAGTGATTCTGTAGACAGTCATGCCCCATCAATAGTCTAAAAGATGCAACCGCAGCTGTTCGCGGGTGATCAGGAACTAAAGTTGGGTTTGTTGGGAGAACACACCAAGGCTTGCCATCACAAGCCCGAGTGGCAAAATCTCTAAAAATCTTTTGATATGTTAGTGATGTCTGAATCTTAATAGAATGGAGGCTTGCACTCATTTTTGGCTTTTGGAGAATCGTAGCCCTCTTTTTTGCAAAACATATTAGCCATCTCATTCCCATAAATCTCACAGTGTAAAGGTATCCATTGAAGATTTTTTGAAAGACATGATTGTCTAGTTCACTTTTGTAGTAAATTCCCCAAAAGTCAGTTAGCAAAGTGGAGAAAGATGCCTGGGACACTGTGACAAGCTTCTCTGGTTTACTGGAACCACTGCTGTCTTGTCCCACTTCCTTCAGTTCACTCAACATCAGCTGGGGGAGAAAAGACTACATGGGAGCATAATACTAAAAAATAGGATGGGGACATACGAATGCAATGGTAACTGTAATATGACATACTAGAGCAATGGTAAAGTATATTGTGGTGACATATAAACACAATAGTGAAGCATATTGTGCCGACTGTATGGTGACATATGAGTGCAAAGGGTTAAGTATTAGTTTTAGTACTTACACATAAAATATTAATTAGAAATGTGTTATTGCAGTTCTAGTAAAGGCAGCACTGCTGAGAGCGATGGCTTAGACTTCTCTTTCTCTACATCAATGAATCAGTCTTTGGAACAGTCATCCATAGACCAACTATCTTTGTCTTCCAAAGGTTCAGAAGAATCAACAAATTCACAGATGAGTTGACAACCATTTCCTGCTCCCTATGGCATATATTCTGATGTAGCTAACTTTTATGTTAATTTTTAAAGCTGTTTAGCTTATACTGTTTTGTGATGTAAGTGTAGATTATGTATAAATAATGTATTTAGTGTTTTATACTAAATTATTTCTTAAATAATAAATATTTCTATTAGTAAGTTATGTATTTTTATTTCCTCATTTTCTGTTATTTATCTTGGTGTTATACTTACCGTATATGTTCTTTTTTTATTTATTTATTTTTATTAGGACAATATTGTTCTATTGCCATGTTGAACCATTTTGGTAAAAATTCCTATTTGTATCATTTTTTATAAGTAATTTAAAATACTCCCAGTTTTTCAACACATCTCTACTCTTCTAGTAGATTGCTGAAACTCCTAGTTTTCAATTTCTAACCTTTGCTAAGGAAAATGTCTTCCAACAATAAATGAAATTTATTTAATTGATGAAACTTATATTTTTAATTAAATTTTATTTTGTATGAATATCTCTAGTAAAAATAGATTGGACTATTCATGAAGAGATCTAAGCAGTGTTTGTTCCATTAGTTTTAGTGTTTTTAGCCTAGAAGGCTATTAGTCTTGATATGGAATTATACATCAAATCACTTAAATGTGATGTATCATTTTTCAGATTGTTGCCACCAAATATTATCGTTCTGTAACTAAATAATAAAAAATCTGCATGACTGTATGTATGTTTCTTGCATCAGGGTTGCCATTCAAACAGGAGAAGGAAATTCCCTATATTTTCCAAGTTTTCCAAGAAAATTCCAAGCTATTTGCACAATGTGCGTTGGTTAATCCCCAAATTTGCCAATTACATAAGACATATATATATATATATAATAAAATTCCATAGTCAAAATTACACTTAAAATTCTAACTGTATGTTCTTTTCATTTTTTTAATGGCGATGGTCTCTTATTTGAAAGTACGTGAAATTAAATCTACAGCCCCGTAGTCAAGTTGTTTTTGCCGCCTTTTCTACACGTACAGTTATAGAATGTTCTGGAAATATTTAAAGCGAACTGCATTGGCTGACGAGGCTGACGTCATTCCTTGGAAGCTCTGCCTTTCCAGAGGCTATAAAAGGACTCGCAAATTAATATCAGGGGCTTTTCTTTAATGTATCGATGCAGTAAACTTCATACGAAAAGTTATTAGTAATTCTTTTTATTTACTCCGAAAATCTGATTTTGTAACTGCTATTTCTCCGGAATAATAATAAATGGATCCTGTTTTTTAAGCTTATCATCTGATACTTTAAGCTATGACTACATTTATGATTCTTCAACAATCTGTTTATTTCGGACAAAAGCTGCATATATATATATATAATATATATATATATATATACACATACACATACACAGGGTGTTTCATAGATCATGGGACAAACTTGGAGGTGTGGTGGAGAGTAATAAAACATGCATTTTTTTATAGGAATGTAGGGTCTAAAGTGACGGGTTAAGGCAACCAAAAAAAAAAATTCCGAGAGGAAAATGTGTTTATGTACAAAATCAATGTAAAGTGCTTCTTTGCAGCAATACAGTATTCACAATAAATGTTCAAAATTGCGACCACCCCAGCAGTAATACATGTTTGGTAACGTCGCAGAAGGGATTGACGAACATTTTCAAAAACGACAGGCATTTCGTGCATGTGTGCAACCGCAATGGATAGTCGTGCAACGAGTTCCTCCAGTTAGTCAACATATCAACTTTTCCATTACTCACAGCACTAAATTCTCCAAAATGGGACTCAGAAATGGAATTGTCTTTTACTTGTAATCCTAATTTCTTCACACTCAGTCTTCTGAATAAATATGATTTCCGAGATTCAGTGTTGCATAAGCATCATTGCTTTACAAACTGTTGTTCAGAATTTTGAAATTTTGTTAATGCATTACACAACAAATTGTAACTGGTTTGACTACTTTTGTATTCAAATCCTGTGCCTCTCATTATGTTGTGTACGCAATGACCTACTCTTCAGCTGAGTTTTGTTCTTTGAATTAGTAGCAATGCACAAAATACTGTGATGTTTCTTAACGCTGCAATGGAGAAGCCATCTTTTGGGCTGTAATTTTTAGACAACCCCTTCCTGAGCTTCTTTCCTACCTTTACCCTCCTAGAAACATTCCATGAGTGCAATGCATCTAGTATTTCTTGTCAGTCTGGTTTTCGCCTTTCTTCCAAAAGCAGTTATTGTGAACATGTCGCGTAGACGAATGCAATACGCCGCTCCTCCAAGTATGTACAGAAAGAATATTATACCTCCTGAAGATTATTTGCGCGTTTTAGTAGAAGTCTCGGTTGATGAAGACTCTGACAATTTGGATAACGCATCTGATGTCGATGAATCGGAAGTCATCGAACATTTTGATCATGAAAGTGACACAGAAATTTAGGGAAATGTTTCTAAACATCCTTATTTAGCTTCCTCAAATGACGTTTCCCCTACAAATGATGATTTTAGTGATGTTGAAAATGACGAGTGATTTAAAATATGAGGACTTTTTTGTAAAAACAATTTACAAATAGAAGAAAGTTGGAGGAAAGTTTCTGAAAGAAGAAAAGGAAACTTATAAGTGGAATAAAGTTACCCTCAAGAGCAAATTCGCCAGAAAGCCTTGAAAAAAATTGATGAAAAAAATATGCCCAAGTGCCAAATCTTGTGACGATATAAATGATAAGCTTTCTGCTTTCCAGAAAATCATAAATACAAGTATGATTGATGCTATCGTACAATATACAAATATTTATCTCAAATGTAACAGGATGGCAGATGATCTCCAAAACATCTCAAAGAGAAGCATGCATGATACTAATAGAGCGGAAATTTTGGCCTTTTTAGGAATTTTATTCTTATTATGGTGCAAAAAAATGTCAAAACTCAGTTTGGAGGAAGCATGGGCAAAAGACGGTACTGGAATTGAAATTTAGTAAGGAGTCATGGGTCTCAAGTGATTCAGAAACCTGTGTGCTACTATTAGATTCGATGATAAAGGCACAAGGTATGTGCGAAGAAAAACTGATAAGCTTGCTGCACTAAGAGAATTTTTTGAATCTTTCAATCAGAACTGTCAAAACTTTTATACACCAGGTGACGAACTCACAATCGACGAGAAGTTGGAACCCTTTTGCAGGAGATGCTCTTTTATTCAATTCACCCCCAACAAGCCCACAAAGTAGGGTCTGAAAATTTTTGCAGTTTTTGACTCATGAACATTTTATACATTGAAGCTTGAAATTTACTGTGGCAATCAATCCCCAGGACCTTACGAGGCTTCTAATTCAGGTATTGACATTGTCAAAAGGCTAATTGGTGTGTACGAAGGTTCCAACCGTAACCTGACGACCGATAATTGGTATACAAGCTACCCGCTAGCTCAATATCTTCTTACCAAAGGTATAACACTTGCGGGCACGCTGAAAAAAAAAAATAAAAAGGAAATTTCAAATGAATTTCAGACATCAAAAACAAGAGAAGTCGGTAGTTCACTACCGTTTGGTTTTCAAAAGGATATGACAATTGTTTCATATGCAAAGAAAAAAAAATAAGTGTGTAATACTGCTCAGTACTTTACACGATGATGACAAAATTGACCAGGAAACGAATAAACCTCAAATAATCCTGGATTATAACAAATGTAAAGGCAGAGTTGATACTTTAGACCAACTATGTAGTAATTTCACTGTCGCCTGAAAAACAAAGAGGTGGACAATGGCAATATTTTTTGCACTGCTAAACGTAGCGGGCATAAATTTGCAAGTGTTCTTGAACTTCTCCAAACCTGATGCAACCATCAAGTTTAGAAGATATTTTTTGAAAAATCAAGCTACATCTTTGATGAAACCACATCTTCAGAATCGTCTGAAAATGCCATTTCTCCTGTCGCATTCCAAAGCTATAGAAGGCTGGTATCAAAAGAAGCGGACTAGACGGCCGAAAGGAACAAGGAACCACCTGCAAAAAAGATCAAAGGAAGCTGTGCTGAGTGTGGTAGAATGAAGAATAATTACACTACCATAAAATTTCTGAGTGTTCTATAAGTTTACCTGCAAAAATCATCTGGGCAAGACAACTTTGTAAACCCTGCTGCAGTGAACAGGAACAATCCGAAGAGGATTAAAGTAGCAAAAGGTTTTTCAATTTTTTCATTTGTGAAATTTATTACTTACTGAACTTTTCTTTATGGAATATTTATAATTTGTAAATTTGATTTATGATCTTATAATTTTTGTACAGAAAATAATGTAGAATACTATTTAACTTTAAATTACATTTCCAGTACATTTCACATTTTGAATTAATTAAAAATTCGTAGTTTCCATCTTTATTGCTTTTTTTCTGTTATTCTTTTTCTTATATCATTTTTACTATGACGAATCACCTTACTAATGCCATGTATAAGATTAAATAGTTTCAAACACAAAGCAGAGGCTCAAAAAATGACCTGGTGTATTTCATACGCCGCCCCTCTAAAATTGTACCATACACCAGCCACTCCAACTGAGGGTTAAAGCAATGTTGACATGCATTTTTAATAAGTGCATATTAAGTAAGCAATTAAAACTGTAATGATTAGATTTTATGAAGTCTACTCTTTGTTGAACTGATGATAAAATTAGAAATTTTGAGCATTTAGCTAAACCTATGCTCTTTACAGTAACTATAACCTGAAGTAGGTGCTAGAACTTAACTCTTATTCTGAAATACAGATTTAGGTACCTTATGAATTACTGATGTTATTTTGAAGTATTCTTGTATAATTCTTAAGGAATTCAATTAATGCCATGAGTTTTGGAATCTCATTATATTTTAGCTGAAGTTCCTATCGTAATTTTACGGAAGGATCTAATTTTTTTAATTAAATAAGTCATTAAAATTATCAGTGGTTTGATTTAGTACTTCTAATGAGCGAATTACTTCGTTAATGTTGTCACCTAAATTAAAAATAGCAATAGCTGATTCATTTTGAATAGTTGGTAAGCTTGGAAAACATTTATTACATATAAAAATTCATTGTCTTATTTGAATATCTTTTGCCTAAAAGATTCCATGGTACCTCAAAATTAAAATTTGAATGAGTTGGATGATGCGATACGCTTCATCTTTGAGCATAGCCTCCAAATGCTGCAATTTTTTAG